AATTTATTAAATTATAAGTTAATTAATAAATGATTGAAGTTTAATGAGTTCCACAATTCCTTTTTTCTCCTTGTCCTTTCAAATGCTTTTTAATTTTATTAAAATATGTCTAAAAACAAAGAAGTTAAAGCAGTTTTTGATAATTTTTCAAGAAAAAGGTCACATACTTTTCTATTGCTTGTTTTGAAGGACCAAAATTAGGGCATTAATAATTGGAAGTGGTTAATCGCACAAATAAGCTCTTATGAGCACGGTAGATCTAGCCAATCAGCATTTAAGGTTTCATGATGTAACAGCTGTCATACAGTGCGAATAAGTTCTTATTCCCAATTCGCATGGTACATCGTGAATTAACTATATTTAACACAGTATCGTCTCAAAAGGTTCAATGACCTAAATATTTGACAAGATACCTAATTTGTTACGAGAATACCTAATCGAACCGAAATACCTTTTCAGATAGAACCTATCATACAAACATTGTCTACCGTGCAAATAGTAAATAATACATTATTCGCACGGTAGACGTAGATAATCAGCATCGTAGAATGTAACGACACTGTCTTTACAAAAAAGCGCCAATAAAAGCTTTCTTCTTTGTTTGGCTTCTGTTGTTCACAATCACAAAACCAGCCATTAAAGCCTAATGTAAATCAAGGTCGGTCAGGTATTTAGTGACTACAATTCATTTGTTGATTTCTTTAAAGAAATTTCAGGACGAAAATAACCTTGTTGTAGAGTACTGTACATACAACAATCTTTCAACAATTATCACAGCTTCCTATGGTCTCTGAGTGCTATGTGCTTTGTATATATCATCATTAGGCCTACAATCAATGTATCCAGTAGCATTTCAAAAACACTCCCACATCAATATAAATCTTATTTTCCAGTACAGTATATAGTACATATATTCGGTGGCGGATCCAGGATTTATTATGGTAGAGAGGGATAGGAGAGACTTTTAGAGATGTGCGAGTCTACAGGTGGGCTAAGTGCAGCACGACTGCAGCCCACAAAATTAAAACCCTATTAAAACTGCACATAAAATTTAGTAATTTTGCATCAGTTTGGCATCCTCTCATCCTCCTCTCTGTTCCAACTCCCATCATGGTTGGTGCTAAGTAATTAATTTTCTTCAGTTATGGTTATCGAATTGACTGTCTGTGCTGTGCCCAACTCATACAGTATGCCATGTAATAATCATACAGTATTTCTATCTACAACATTCTACCGTGCAAATAAGAGTTTTTTCCACAATTCATACAGTACCGTGCGAATAAGCTCTTATGAGTCTTATTCGCACGGTAGACCTAGCCAACATGCTGTTACTATCCCATTTACCAGCAAACCCTTTAAAAGTGCATTCAGGCGGGTTGGTGAACCAGGTTTTGCCAGAATCTCAATACTGTAATCCAATTAAACATCAAAGAAGAATACCTCTACTTAAGAGTCATTATCACAGCAGGCATTGCTGTTTCTCAATAAATTATCAGTATAGTATTTAAAAACCAGGCTGGAAAATTTTAAAAACCTGTTAAAAAAAAAATTGGCATTTTTATTAACATAGCTACAATTTCAGATAAAAATCATAATAGATATGCTTTTGAATTTTAAAAATCAATGCCTTATCTTAGAAGTTACAACATGGTTTTTGATTTAATTGTGCTAGTCTTCTTATAAACTATTCACAACTAATGAGCTTCATTGTTAATATTGTTTAAAAATTCCCTGAAGAGGTAATTAATAGAGATAAAGAAGAGATGGGCAAAACCTGGTTCAAAAATTCAAAATTTGGTAAATGGTGAAGTTTCCTCATGAATCAGCATTTAAGGTTTCATGACGGCTGTCATACCGTGCGAATAAGTTCTTATTCCTAATTCGCACGGTACAGTGCGAATAACCTCTTCCTTAACAATTTCGCCGTGGCTAGAGATACGGTACCGTATCAGAACTTCCAATTGCTAAAGGTACGGTAAATGATATTACGTCATGATTAGCCAATAGAAACGTTGATACATGCGTGACGTCATTCAGTGCACTGCTGCTGCTAGAGTAGTGAGCAGCGTGACCACTGCTTGGGTATTTACCCAAGATCTTGGGTATTTTGACCTGATCTTGGGTTTTTGGGTATTCCGTTCCAATCCGTGGGTATTTTATTTTTACTAAGAAAATTAAATATTTTTGTCATAGAGGAAGAATTGAGAAGTAACAAAGTATATTTCAATCCAATCAAGCAAGCAAAACTCAACGAAGTGCACATAACATTGTTAATTGACTGTTAATTGCTATAAACATGGGTTCAGAATTGTTTATTTGTGATTTGCGTTGCCATTGATCTTACCTAATTAATGCATTACATAATAAAACTTGATCACTGATCTACTGATAACACTGGCCGACTGAGGGCGTATTTTTCTATCCGTATTATCACCTCATGAATATTAATTTTAATAATTAACACAAACAATTACAATAAAAATTGGTTAATAAATTAAACTAAAAGGGAAACTTATACAGTACATGCGAAAAAAATGTATTTTTCAAATTTAAATGCATTTTCAGGAAGCTTGGGTAATTTTGGGCAATTTTTGCTGAATCTTAGGTAATTTCAACCAAGTCATTGGGTATATCAAAAATTGTGAGTGTTCATGCAGGTAGTGAGTGTATGTTTCAGATGGTTTTAGCATGGACCTATTCATAAGGTCCATGGTTTTAGCAACGATCGAAGATAAGAAACTTTGTTCGTTCGCGGGTGTTGTTGACAAGCTGTGATTAACATTCTGTAGCCCGAGGCCCTATAGCAAATAAAAAGGATAGCAGTTTTGCTAGATTTGGCGACATGAAGCGACTGAGTTTAACTATTTTAATAGTAGAAGCCACAGCGTAATAATTTCTTATATTCTACTTTGTTGATATTTGAATGGATGGAGGATATTATGAACTTGACGCAGGGTTCCCAGAACACCGCCCTCAGCGGCAAGTGCGAAGCGTGGAACGTGAAATTTGGATATGGGTTTGTAGTCAGATTTGCGAGAAAAACTTCAGCTACCCGTATTTCTCGACTGAGACTCAGTGGGAGCTGTAATTGGTATGGCAAGGAGATTGTGCAACCCTTCATTTGTATTAAGGGAATTTACGCCCATAAACTTTGTAGTTATTAATATTTTGGTTATAATAGAAAATATTCATTTTTTGGTGACGTCACACTCACATTAGTTAGCATGCATACGTCATAAGTTAGATACGTCACCTTTTCCTGGTAAGGCAAACTTTCCCGGTGGCGTGCTTTTTTCATGGATAAACAAACACCACTTCTTTGTACATGCATGCCTTGCCCAAGCCAGGGCTACAGAGCCGCATTATTAGCATTGTAAAATACTTAAACAAGGTACCTCTGCAAATGAATTATTCTTAGTTGTTTTTTCTTATTTTAATTTATTTCTTCCGAAAGTGTACTCTCTATCACATATAAAATTGAACTGTCTTAGGCCTAGGCCTAGTCTTATGCCTCATCGTCCTCCGCTACACAGTACATCAGCAGCCCCTCCCCCATACAGTACAGACGTTTGCTAGGTAACAACGTGATTGCACCTTCCTTCCATACACATCTAGATGTGTATAAGAGTTCCCAGG